CTTATATATATATATATATATATATATATATACATATGTATATACATATATATTCCGATACATAAGTACGCTTATTCAAAAACGCACGCATATGCTCGTGCTCACCGGCTTGCTTTGTGGCGTTGATCTAGTGTAGTCATACTTCCCGCCCTCCCCAGGCCGGTACTGAGACTCTTCATACTGATGAAGTTAGTATTGATCTCATCGAGAGAGTGTTTAGAGTTGCCGCTGTGTACATTGGATGCTTCCTGCTTCTCCATACGAGATATAAGTTGTCGTTGCGCAGAATCGGCTATCAGAGAGGTGACGTTCTGCGATACCACCTATGTAGAATAGAGTCATAAACAAAGACCACCAATGTATTGATGAGTGTTTACTACCACACAATGTACTGTAGCTGTCCACTGTGTGCCTTGAATATTTTCTTGTCGCACCAGATGCGAGATGAGTTGGAATTGCGCCCAATCGAATAATACCGCCTATTGATCGCACAGAGGATGTTTACAGAATCTGTTATTAGTAAGTTCGTTCCTTGTCGTTTCGTTGAAGGATGTTGTCAGCACCCTTTGTGTGCTAGAATCGAAATTTGTGTCTTACTCAACACATATTTGGTAAAATACTATGGTTGACAGTCATTGACTCATGTTCTCCTTCAAGAGGATGTTTGGTAAAACACTGAAGTGCCCAGTAGATATCTGTGTCTTACTCAAGACATATTTGGTAAAATACTATGGTTGACAGTCATTGACTCATGTTCTCCTTCAAGAGGATGTTTGGTAAAACACTAAAGTGCCCAGTAAGCGATTCCTGCTTCTACTTCAGAAGTTGCTTGGTAACGTAATATAGTGAACATCGAACGGTTTCTGTATCTCCAGGCGTGGGGTTTGCTGGCGTTGCGCTGCATCTGTTATCAGGGAAGTGCCATTCCGTGGCAACGCCTTCCAACTGTGTTCCGCAACCTGTTACTATCATTTTTTTTTGCACGCGTAAACTGTGTTTGTCATGTGCAGTGCTTATACTCAATCCGTTGACAGCCATGCACCACCTATCAATCGTGTGTAGCGCATATTCCGGCTATCAACATCCTGATAGGCGAAACAGAGTACTTATCCTATGACGTGGACTCTGCCACCTTAAGTATAATATTTATTTAAGAATCAGTGCCAACCAGTAGGGCGTCTGGATGACCGTAGGTATAATTCAATTGATCCTTCAATTTGTACATTTATAGGTGGTATCAATTTTTATATACATAAGACAGTGCCATGTTGTGATCAACATCCATATATGTTATCTGCAGGGTATGTTTTCAATTGTCGCGTACCTTAGATCCGAGCGAGTACTAATGGATACCATGGTACAACAAACCGTACACACCCTACAACAAACCAGCACAATGCAAAGATCCAGTCACACACATGGCAGGAACCCTCACCCTGGACAGAACACTCAGAGCATACGTACGAAATGTACCAAACCAATTGAGATTTTCGTTGCTTGTCAGATACGCAATGCCAATAGCTATTTTGCAGACATCAATACACAACTATTGAAATAGAGTACAACGTAAATCAAATATTCACCTGACTTAAGCTCTCGCCCTTGCCGTAGTTGCTGCGGTTGTTGAGTCGTTCCAGACAGCGTGACAGGTCAGCACTAATCTTGTGCTTCTCTTTGCACACCCACGTATCTGATGTATCCCAGAACAATAGTAATGGTAGGTCGGACAGTATTATAATCGTATTAAGAAATACTAAGAAAAGCTGAGAGAGAGAGGGAGGGAGAAGGGGCTCGAAACGACCGGATGAAAGATTGGTGATGATATCAACGGATATCAGTGAAGTTCACGCATGTTGTAAATATCTGGAGAAAGGATACAAGTTCGTGCCATCACCTATTTTATTAAGTTTTTGAGGTAGAAAGGTGAGTAAGTTGTGCAGTATATGTCCGCTTCACGAGTCTTGTTCGCCAGCTATAAGCAATGCGCTGGTACGTCGAATGAATGCGACACAAATGTATGTGTAAACACAAACACAAACACACATATGTGAATTGATATACCACCTACGAAAACGCTTGAATCTTGGAGTATAGGTAGTCTTGAGGGCTGCATAGGAATGCTTCTCTGCACAGTCATCTACTAGGTCTCCTTAAATGACTAGGAAGCCTCCAGCACATTGTCAGAACATCACTACATAGCTGTGTTCTGTTGATTCGGTTGCGAATTCAGACACACAAAACACGGACATACGATACTATACTCATTTCCTAAGTGATAGATGTCCTGAAATGAGCTCGATGTAGGTACGCGAGACTGCTTCTATGTATATTCTGTTACCAATTCATATTCATATCTAGGATTCAATAGATTGTAGGAGCCATCAACGCTCTGTATATCCGAATCCATGGATACAAAAACATAAAACCATATTTGTAGATTTACGTATTAATATACAAATACAAATACACAAAAGTATATCCCGTCTTCTGATGATAATGACAGCCATGTGCATACTAATATTCTTTGATATGATACGACGCAATTGCGTGAAATACTTCTGTGCACATATTTACACACTAAAACAAATATTCCTAGTATCACAAAATCCTAAAATGACTAATAGAAGTCAACGTGCATATTCGCTTTCACATTGACAATGATATATAACTCTACCTAGTTCCAGACTATCAATGCGTGCCATTAGCATGTTGGTATTCTATAAACATATCCAGACACCTAATGACAATCCCTACCTTCAACACTCCGTACATTCGGATTGATGTATACGTGTACAAATAGGCATACCTAGTCCCAGACTACCAATGCATGCCATAAGCATGTTGGTATTCTATAAACATATCCAGACACCTAATGACAATTTCTACCATCAACATTCCGTACATTAGGATTGATGTATACATGTACAGATAGGCATACCTAGTCCTTGAATGACAATTGGTGCCATTAATACGTTGATATCCTCTGTGATCAGTACGACGTAGTTGCGTGGGATTGGCATCCAGTCGGCATTGTCGTCTGTCAGCGGTTCAGACGACACAATTGCACAGTTCTTAGCGCCACCACCGTGCTTCATGCGGTATTCTCTGTATTGCAATAATTCGAACTTGTAAATATCGCTGACGTACAGACATTTCATACAAACAAACAAGACATACGTATGCGAGGGTATATATAATGTATATTGCATGCGCGCGTTCGGCTTTCTGTATGGGATTTCATATGCACGGACTTCAACATCAATATCCTTAACAGTCTACAACCAAAATGCGTGCTACACACACTTTCGGTGCATACCCGGGCGTTTCCCCAGGGATGAAGCCCGTTCCTGAGGCAATGTACATAGAGGCTGCCGCCGCAAAGGGGTTGCCGGGTTGATGGGAGACCCGGGTGGCACAGATCTGCACGCATATAGAAAAATAGAGGGATGCGGAAAGATATACCCGAAATAGGTATACATAAAAATGAAGGCGGTGTGCGGCATTCGAGAATGTTCGGTACTTATGGAAATCATTTCAGGAAACAGTGGAGTGCGCAGTGATACACCTAAGATGATTGTCGGTACAGTTCAGTGCCAAATGTGGCATTCGGTCATGGCGACATGTACTAGACTCTGATATATGACGCTGTACACAATGGTACACTACGGTTGCCAAGGTGATAAGAGACTCGAGTGACAACATATCTGCGATCAAGACTAGCAGTGGTGGTGTACGTACATTGATGAAGTGTCATAAACACGAGCCAAGCTACTCGCAGTTGACGAC